CATTTAAAAGCAGTATACTTTCCAATTCTTTTAGTCCAGGGTCCGAAGAAAGTGTCTTTGCACAGGGAGTCGGTAGATATAGGGAGCAGGCTTGACAGATCCTGTGATTGACTTCTGTTCCTTTTTCTTAGGTTCTTATGAGATGTCAAATCAGGGATGGGCAATAAATGCTAGTCTAGCCAGTGATGTCTACATCCCATGATTGAATAAAAACAATGCATAATTCTTGTAAGAACTAATTTAACCACCATGCCAACTTTTATTTCTAATACTATGGTTGTTTTCCTTAATTTTACCATTTTCCTGTCTTTTTAATTCCTCTGTCAACTAATGCATCATTCTCAGACTGAGGTGGAAACAATTGGCTCCAAAGGACATGGCAAAGCCCCTCCATAAGAAGCCCCCAGGGAACTGCAATAAAATGATTCAGGTGTTTTCATCTTTAACTAAATCTGTTAGCCATGGTTCAGAACCTTGGTGTGTATTTTAGCTGCCATGTTTCTTACATCACAATAATAACTACAGTTCAAAAGTACTAATTTGCCTATATATTGCTTAGTAAAGACCTGATGTTTAATCCCTACCCAATGTGCAACATTGTTCTGAAACTGAGTCATACAATTCTCTGCTGCAGCAAACTGAAAGATCAAGAGTTAAATTGTAAACCAACTGAGATATATTTTGTAATAAAGCAAAGAACTGCGGATGCTGGAGATCTGAAAGATACATAAACAGAAGCAGCTGGAGAAACTCAACAAGTCTGGCATTATTTGTGGAGAGAAATCAATTAAATACCACCTTTTCCTAGCTTCTTCCAGTTCTAAAGAGGGGTCATTGGACTCAAAATATCAAGCCTGTTTTCTCTCCACAGATGCTGCCAGACATGCTGAGTTACTCCAGCAATTTGTGTTTCAGATATCTTTTAGTCTGTCCTTTTTATGAAAATTTCTCCACTCTTTAGATTCTACCTTGTGTCATCAGACATTCCCTGGCTGAGATGGAGGACAATTTGCAATCACTGTTAAGATACTGCAAAATACCATTAAAGTTTAAAGAGAAAATCAATCACCCCTTTACTAACAGACAGAACTACACAACAGCAAAATACTTAACATTTTTATTCAGAAACATATTCTTTTGTATGTTTAAAAGAAAGCAAAAAAGCAGTGAAACATAACACTATTGTTTACAGCTACTGAGACTATGAACTCAGTTCTTTTTCCTTTCCCCAAAGATTTCTCTTATACATGTCAAGAATCTTAAAGGTTTGTTTTGTCTGGGACTAGTCCAATGTATGCCACAGCCCTCCAGAATTTTTTAAAACTTTTCCTCAGTATTCTAACTTTCTCCAAGTACAAAATTTCTGGACAGGCCAGGCAGCATCAGGGGAGCAGAAAAGTTGATGTTCCGGGTCGGAACTCTTCTTCAGAAATGGTGAGGGGGGAAAAGAGAGAAGGGGTGGGCATGGGGAAGGTAGGTGGGATGGTGATAGGTGAGTGGTGGGGATTGGTCAGTGGGTGGGTGGTACAGATAGGTGGGAGAGAGGATGGACAGGTTGTGTCACGACAAGGAGGCGGGGATGAGAGGGAGGGTTGGACATAGGATGAGGGCGGGATGTGGGGAGATTTTAAAACTGGTGAATTCTATGTGTAGGCCATTGGGCTGTAGGCTCCCGAGGCAGAATATGAGGTGTTGCTCTTCCAGTTTGTGGGTGGTGTCGTTGTAGCACGGAAGGAGGCCCAGGATGGACATGTCACCCAGGGAGTGGGAGGGGGAGTTACAATGGTTGGCAACCAGAAGGTGTTGTCGTTTGTCACGTACAGAGTGCAGATGTTCTCTGAAACTGTCTCCGAGCCTACGCTTGGTCTCACCGATGTAGAGGAGGCCACATCCAGAGCAACAGATACAGCAGACCAAGTTGGCAGATGTATAGGTGAACCCTTTCTGATATGACAGGTTTGCTTTAGGCCTTGAATGGAGGTAAGGAGGGAGGTGTAGGGGCAGGTGTAGCACTTCCTGCGGTTACAGGGTGTGGTGGGTTTAGTGGGGAGTGTGGAGCAGACGAGGGAGTTGCGGAGTGAGCAGTCCCTCTGAAAGGCAGATAGGGGTAGGGAGGGAAATATCTCTTTGGTCATGGGGTCAGATTGTAGGTGGCAGAAGTGGCGGAGAATGACAAGCTGGATGCAGAGGTTAGTGGGTTGATGTGAGGACCAGGGAGATTCTGTCTTTATTTTTCGTGGGGTTGGGGAGGAAATTTGAGGGCCCTCAAACCTCACTCCGCATCTGCCAACTTGGTCTACCGTATCTGTTGCTCCCGATGTGGCCTCCTCTACATCGGTGAGACCAAGCGTAGACTCGGAGACAGTTTCGTAGAACATCTGCGCTCTGTACGCAACAAACGACAACACCTTGTTTTAACTCCCCCTCCCACTCTCTGGGTGACATGTCCATCCTGGGCATCCTTCAGTGCCACAATGACACCACCCGCAAACTGGAGGAGCAGCACCTCAAAATTCCACCTCGGGAGCCTACAGCCCGATGGCCTAAATGTGGAATTCACCAGTTTTAAAGTCTCCCCACACCCTGCTCTCCTCCCATGTCCAACCCTCCCTCTCATCCTCACCTCCTTGACCTGATACAACCTGTCCATCTTCTCTCCCACCTATTGAACCCGCCATCCCACTAACCAATCCCCACTACTTCCTACCTGCACTCACCTAACACCATCCCACCTACCTTCCCCACCCAGCCCTCCTCTCTCTCTATTTATTTCAGAGCTCCCTTCCCCCTCCCCATTTCTGAAGAAGGGTCCCAACCCGAAAAGTCAACTTTCCTGCTCCTCTGATGCTGCCTGGCCTGCAGTGTTCCTCCAGCTCCATACTGTGTCGTCTCTGACTCCAGCATCTGCAGTTCTTGCTATCTCAAGATTTCTGGATTTCCTTCCTTAGCTTCTAGCTAAGTGATCCTGCAACATCTTGAAAATCTTGTTATTGTGGATTCCTCAGCTGCCTATCCTGTTTGCTGACTGCTTTCTCATAATTTTCCAAACTAATTCTGCCAGTTGCTTTCTGACAAGGCACTGTGAGAATGATTGTTTGCTTCTTTATCTAATTGCAAATTAGGCATCTCTTTCAACTTTGTTCTTCAGAAATTTCAGACTGATTTTGAGCCCCATCTGCATTCTGCACAGTGACTGATAACTTTAGTATTTTCTTTGCTTAAAGTGCAGGTGCTTGAATAATGATCATCTCCCATTGCCTCTCTCAGTCCAGTGAGGTACAGTGTCCATGAAGCTAAGAATTACAACTGCTTTGGTTGTTCCCAAATTGAGCAGCTTTATTCTGTCCATGAACACCATAGACAAATTAAACAAAGGGTGTAGGTGTTCCAACACCCATACTCCTCTCTACAGTAAAGTAGCGTGCAACACAAATGCAAACCAATTATATTTTACCCTCAACACAAATATTTGATTCCTTGACCCATACGAATAACTTACAGACTTACACAAAATTCCCGTTTCCAGACTCTCTCTAGTTCCATTGAGAAGCCCAGAGATGCATCACCCATTATTTAACTTCCATCTGTGACCTAGTAAGATAAATACTGTTTGTTTTACTATTTACCTTTCAATTTTAGAAATTAAAGTCGTCTAAAATGTGAATTACGGACTAGATTTTCTTCATATCACTAACCGCACACTAAGTGTAAGAGATGAAGGTAATGTTGAAGTGACAGATGTGCTTGGGAACCACTGTGATTTCCTAAATAAAAACCAAAAGAACTGCGGATGCTGTAAATCAGGAACAAAAACGAAGTTGCTGGAAAAGCTCAGCAGGTCTGGCAGCATCTGTGGAGGAGAAAACAGAGTTAACGTTTCGGGTCCGGTGACCCTTCCTCAGAACGTTGTTGTTGTTGACTGTGATTTCCTATCTGTAGTTTTTGCTCTCAGCTTCCCCACCTAGACAACATTGTTAAGATCGATTTACAATGGTTTTGGACGCAACCATTGTGCGCTGTACTTTATTGTTGTTTTTAACAAATTGTGGAAAGTTTGTATAATTTTTATAAAAGCACGAATCCATTGTTCACATTTTTGTATTTTGCTTGCTAGTTACAGAGTTTCTTTTATATGTTGGCTCATCATAATAGAAAAATAGAAAAATGCTTGCTTTTCTTTGTATTTAATAACTTGAGCGAAAATAAGGTTTTAGAAATGGAACTTTTTCAATTCCATGATTGGTTTTAAGATATTTTCTAAGTTTTCGATAATGCAGGAGTTTCTGGTCTCAGTTAAAAAGCAAGTCTGAGAAAGGATGAAAGTCACCTTAAGTAAATGGACAGATTAAAATATTCTTTTTATCAAACAGTTCACAACAATAGTCTGAAGAATAATAACACATTTTCAAAAGTTAATTTAATTGATTAATCAGTGGATAATACCTAATTCAGTTTACTTATGGAAAAGTACCTTGCAACTAACTTGTGATTTTGGTCACTTGTGGATTCTGTGTCTTTTCAAATCAAAGTTTAATCTACTTGCAGTCACTTAAATGTTAGTACGCAGACCCATAATATCATAGCTTTTTACCTGGCCTGGTATAAAATCAGATCAAATTTTGATACTTTGCATGCTGTGGAAATTCCTGTTTAGTGAATACCAGATTCATCCATGTTGGATTACATCCCAAAAGTTAGATTTGAAATTAGGTAATAGATGTTTATATTTTTAAACTGCTCCTCTGCTTTGGAATTGTTGACCCCTGCCAAATGCAGGAAATAATTCTTGTCAGATTTTGCTGTCTTTTCATGTAATATATGGGCAAAGTGCCGTTGTTTTCTTTTTGCATTTTACAGATTTGAACCTGCTGTTCAAATGTTACTTTTTCATACACTGATTCATTTGTACACTTACTTTGTGAATATTGGAACATGACAGTTTTATGTTATGTGATTTTATGTATATTCAGATTGTTCCACTTTTATGTTCTGTGTTATAGATTGGGAGATTGCTACAGTTGCTTTGCTTCTGGCTGGAGCAGCCATCATTATCATTGCCTTTCTGGTGGCTCTGATCTCAATCTGCCAGGGAACTCGTCGGAGATTCTACAGACCTGTGGCTGTCCTGTTGTTTGCTGCAGGTAATTCATTAATCAGTCTGAATCCTATACAACTTGTATGCTCATATTAAGTATGAAGAGATGTTGTAGAGTGTGGAAATGATTCTGCTGCATGCAGTCTTTTAGTTCTTTGTTGCACTACCAAGTTTCAGCTGCATATGTTTTTAAAAAAAATGTTGATTTTTAGAAATGTGAAATAGAAAATATGTGGAAAGAAAATTGGTCATAAGATAAAATTAGTTTGTTTTTCACTTCTGTTCATGGAGCATGGGTTCACAGGTGCTGATGACATCCTTGACTAAGGAGCCATTCATACAATGTGAAACAAGACAATGAGCACTGGCGGATAATCAAGTGTCAGAGAATCACAGCTAACTCCAATCCTGTCCTCACTCAACATAAACCCATGCTCTTTTGCAATAGTGATTGGGAGCCGTTGTCAACTTTCAGAGCTAAGGTCTGTGATGCTGTGTTGCTCCTTTCTTGGTCAAGAATTCAAGTATACACTGTTATGTCTGCAAATACTACCATCTTCAAGCTCCCCTCTAAGCCCTTCAGCATCCTGCCTTGGAAATATATTGTAATTCCTTCATTGTCGCTGGGTCAAAATGCTGGAATTCCCGCCCTAGTGACATTGTGAATCAACCCACAGCAGGTGGATTGCAGCAGTTCAAGGGGGCAGCTCGCTACCGCCTTCTCAATGGCAACTAGGGACGGGCAGTAAATGCTGGCCAAGCAGCAATGCCCACATCCCACAAAAATGAATTTTAAAAAAAAAATTATTTGGAACATTATAGTGGGAATTCCTCTTCAACTTGTGAAACATAAAACTGTCTGAGCTAATATATTTGTTTAATAGGCACCATATTATTTGTAGGACCCTGGCAGAAAGTTGCTACTTTTCATTTCACACTTGTTGCAAAATTGTCGCACAAATATTGCACAGGATTACGGTAGGATAAGTGTTGAGCTGTTACTTGTGTGAAATTCATGATGTACCTGCAACGTACTTTCTGTGTCAGAAATACGTTCAAGTACTTGTATGAAAGATGTCAGAGCGTCTCATTCAACAGCCCACACGTCAAAAGTAACCCTGCAGGTTTTTATTGCTGAATTTTCAATGGCATTTGGCTTCATCTAAAAGCCTACCAATATTTTTCTCCAATATACTGTGCCATAGTGCCCTGTATTATCAGCCCCAGTGTGAGTCCTGTATAATGCACATCGATGAAATAGAGAGTTTCCATCACCATTATGGATTTTGGGTCCTTTTTAATGTTGCTTTTTAGCAACATTCAGCAAAGCAGAAGCATGATAATGCTACCCTCCCTCCCCCCGCCCCAGCACACTGTCAGGAGAGCTGTGCAGTCAAAAAGATACCAAACAAAGATAAATGGAAGCATTGGCCAGAGATACAAACAAAGGAATAAGGGCAATAAAATTCAAGGAAAGCACAATAAAGGACAGATATATAGAGAGAAAAACTGTTGATGGAACCAAAAAGATCAAAATGAGAGTGAAGGAGCAGCAAAGGTTGAAGAAACCAAAGCAAATATTACGTAGCGTGAGACAATGGGAGCAATTTTAACTTTTGGGACCAGTACAAATATATCAGATCAAAACTCACATGGCACCAGGTTATAGTCCTACAGATTTGTTCAAAATCACAAGCTTTTGGAGCTTTCAGGTGCAGTGAGAGGACAGCACAGAAACACAGTTTTTAGGCAGAGAGATGAAGGGCAGAGAGATCAAAGGTGTGAGTGGAGTGAACAACCTTAAAATGGCTGGCTGACTGCCTCCTGTTGAATCTTTAATCATTCATATGTTCTTGCATTCTAAAAATTGCAGAAGCAGGGCATGGAGAACTCTGTTAGAAAGGAGACACAAGTTTCGATCGATTAAGATGCAAATTCCAGAGTCTGTTTCAAGTCACTGCCCGGGATATTTAAAGGTTTCATTAGGGTCTGCTTAACTTTCCAAACTTCAAACAGGCAGAGCGATAAGAATACACAGTAGGTGACATCTCAGGTCAGACACTGAATTGTAGGTGCGAGGCCTTGTCCAGAAATGTCTCAGAGTTTTAACCTGGAATCAGGCTGGTTTTATTCCGAAAGCAGGAATTTATAAAGTGCCACACTGACTGTGACAAAATAGAATGTATCTGCAAATAACCAAAATCTTGGATGAAATGATTCACCCCATAGGTTTATGTGTGTACCTGTGTGTGCTTGAGAGAGCGTGTGTGTTTGAAAGTAATAATTAATCCAAAACTGTACAAACTAATTAAGGTAGAGAGATGATAACAATTTATCCAGGTGATGGTGTCAAAACAGAACAGCAAGGAAGATTTTAGAGATACAGAACAATGTGGTGGGGTCACATGTAGCATGATATGAACTTAAGATTACGGTTGAGGACGTCTTCATCGGTATGGAACTTGGCTATCAGTCTCTGCTTGGCGATTCTGCGTTGTTGTATACCCTGTATACCACAACAGGGTGGAGAACATGCTTCAAAATTTTCATATGCAGTTTTGGAGACCTAGAAGTTGCACAGGAAGAGAAAACCCTTTCGAGAGACACTGCAAAGGCAATGGGAATAGAAACCTGTTGAGATTGATGATAGCAGTATGGCTCAGAGAATTCAGATGCAGTGCGCTCGATACTGTGCAGGTGGGGTAAAACAGATTTGCAAGAATATGGCTGCCCTGGCCCATAGGAAGTACCTACATAGCCTCCTTTCATAATCCAAGTTTTCTAAGGCCCTGAGAATCTAGTCAGCGGGTGTTGACGATAACAGTACAGTTAAAATGCAACTGCATGGCTTTGTTAAAGTATTTAAATATACAGTTACCTCAGGGACATGGATTGGTTGCCTGTCACCCAGCTCACTTGGTTTCAAGCAGAAGGGGACCGGTTATGTTTTTTTTAATATTTCTAAACTGCTATCCCATTCTAAGGGGAAGGGGAGGTATAAATCAATCCCTTTGCTTTCTCCTCACTTAACATGCCTTTTTCCACATGTATCTTTCCTCTTGCTTTTATTCTTCATATTTTCTAAATCCTCGTTGTAAATATGTTTCTATTCCTGTCTTATCTCATCCCTTCTATAGTGTCTGGCCTCCTGTTCAACACCAGCTTTGCATTATTTAAGAGGCTTTTCTATCATGTTTCCATTTCAACTTTTAATTGTCAATTTCTTTTTCCATTGTGTTTAGCCTGATATATTCTTTTTTAAATTATTGAATCATTTCTGAAAGGTGTTTTGCAGAAAATGTGGCTGTTTGCACTCTTATTCTTCCATATATGTTGTAACCTTGTGAACTGTTAATTTTATTTTCAATTGCCATTTCTATTTTTGACTGATTTAGCCAATGTTATTATTTAAAAATAACATATAATATTAGAATAGTGATAATACAGAAATGATTTAATGATGACTAAATATGAATGAATAAGCATTAAAATAATAAGTGAATAATATCACATTAGAAATGTTACAGCTTCTTTGCAATTTTTTTAAAATTGCAGAGTATGCCCACTGTGTTTTCTTCTGGCCTGAATTGGGCAGCATTTTACTTTTCACAGGCACTTGTACCTTGCTAGCTGTAAACTTGAACAAGACTACTCCTTATCCCTGTGCTGTGTTTTGTATTGAGAATTCAGCTGTAAGACAGGAACACCTGAACAAGCAGCTGCTTTAAGTGGTTGGCTTTGAAACAGTGGACAAGATATGCTGGGTGGTGAATAACTCATTACTCAGCTGTTTAATGACCATTTTTGTTTCTCGATGACAGATCACCTGCTACCAATGCAGTATTCAAATTAGCTATCAGTGAAGTTACAATTTACAAGTAATTGAAATAGATCTCCGTTTCTTGTATTCAACCCACTGTTCCATGAGGTAGAAGGTACGCATATTTTGAATCACAATGTCATTTACATTTCAGTATGGATAGATTGAAAGTGGTGGCACAATTCTGAAGGATATGATCAATTTAGCATTGTAGTCATTATCAGTTATGACTTAGGCTGTGATCTTTATTGGAAATTTCAAACCATTTTTAAACATTCAAAAAAAAACAGATAATTTACCTCTAGGCTTTGACCATGCAGATGATAATGTTTCTCAAGTTACCCAACTCATTTGCAGGAAAAAAATAACTTACGGGATGAGTAAAACTATTCTAAAAATTCTCAAGCTTAAAATAATGTCTGAAAATTGATGTGACCACTGCTGGAATATTTCTCCATGCTTTCTCCTCATGCACCTGTGAGATTAACAATAACAATATGCGATACAGACGCGAAGGAAGGGTACAAACGTAAAACTTACTGTAACTTTATTCTCTCAACTTATTGCTTCTTCTCTTTCCAGGTACTACTAGTACAAATTGTCTGTGTTTGAATGGATACACCAGCAGATAATTATTTGTTTAATATTTTATTAGTTTAGGCCGAGACTATTTCATTTCATGTCTCCCCGAATAATTTAACCAGCTTTGTTTAAGTGCCAGTATTCATTATGTCTGAAATAAGTACTTTTTAAAATATTCACTTAACCTTTCAAGTTAATGATGTGTTAGTGTGGAGAAGAGTAGAGAAAGGTACAAAATTTAACTGTGTACAGTGGAAAAATTACTTGCCAGTGAAAAATTGTTGCCTTTAGTCCTGCAAGTTAAGTTTTTCTGTAATCCAAGAATTAACTAAAGTGCCATTTTAATTTGCAAATTACACATTTTAGCAATTCATATTTTTGAGTGAAATGATTTTCAAATTCATTTTTTGTGCAGACGGGATATTCCTTCAGGTGCTGCCCAGCTCCTGGAGACATTTTGTGTTAACCTCTGAAATGAGGATATAAGCCAGCCGAAGCAATACTGTAGTACCTGTGAGCAAAAGAGTTGAGTTGCAGTCGTTAAGTAATTTCACTTTGGATATTTCTCTACAACAGCAGTCCTGTTTACACCTCTCCTGATTGAAATCTATGTCTTGGGGCATACCTCGTAAGCTTGGAGTACA